TTGACTCGAGAGCGATTGATGTGGATCGAAAGGAAGAGTTTGTCGCCCGGCCGTTTAAAATCGCAGTGATGGATATGCGTGGACTTTTGCGCAAGCTGCACGTTGATTCCCCAAGTGCTGTAGCTGGGAAACAAAAACGCGATGAGCGTCGCGAAAAGCATCAAAATGGAGTGGCTGAAGCCTCCACCTGCTCTTTCTGCCGGGCAGAGAGTGTGGCTAGTGAGGGCGGTCAGCACGGGTTACCATAACGAAGGAATCAAGTCCATCTGGTGCCAGCTGCCGCCGACCCCTCCAGAGCTCTCACCTCGTCACCAAGACTGTGTGCCTTCGTCCTGCCCGACTTTCGCTTGAATAAGCCGAAAGAGGAAAGAGAGATCAAGTTGAGCTTCCTTTTCACATTACTTCATCTCTTGAGATTTCATCTTCTTCACTTTGGGAGTTCTCCTCCTTGACCTACCAACTACATGCTGGTCTGAGACCACAATTCGTCCCCTCCTCTTGCTATTTTGTTCACGTCAGGCAAGCCTTTTGTGGTAGGGCGTCGACCTCATAGGGGCATTCCAACACCTTGAAGCACAAAGAGACCGTACTCCGTACTCCTCTCTCTCTACCTTCATCATTGAGCATTTTTCACGTCATCTAGGTATTCCCAGGCTCGCTTTCAGTCACAATGTTCACCCCAACTGTTGCCAACTCGACCTCCTACTTCTATGCGCTAGGCAATACACCGGCCATCAACTTGGCCAAAAACCTGCCTAATGGAGTCGATGCCAGTTTACTACTACTTGGTTGCGGCGATGTGAGGAACATCATTTACACAGCCTACAATGAGATTGGACTACGTAAGTGCTGCATAGGTCTTGGTGAAATCACATCCACCTTTCTAATCCGCCATCAGCTGGTCGCAATCTGGATATCACAGTCAATGACATCGATGAAGCTATTCTGGGTATGTTCAAAGTTTGCATCCGCCAATAAGTATTTGCTGACAATCTGAAGCACGCAACATCTTTCTCTTCTCTCTGCTCATCGACAATGACAATGTCTCCGGAAATACCCCCTGGAACTTGTACTACAACCTTCACATTGACAGCTCAGACCTACACATCTTATCATCTCAAGTCAAGAAGCTTCTCAGAGCATCAGAGTCTCTGAAGTCGTGGAAATCAAGCTCATACGGCAAAGTCTTGCCCTTCTGTGATCAGGCCACCCTCGACGACGTTCGTGCCGTCTGGACCAGCTATGAGAATGCCGCTGCGTCCGACAATGTCATCGCCAATTCCGAAGCCTTGACTGCTAATCTCAAACACTCCATTGAGATGAAGAGAATTGCCTTCGGCAACGCTGTAGCTTTCACCGGTTTGCGATCAGCTGCTCCTGCTGCACTAAAAAACGCACAGGAAGTTACCGAAGCTTCTCAGCAGTTCTGGGAGTCCGCCGACGCTACACCCAACGGTGCCGTCAGCAACCCAAACCCCCTCTTCTATGCCTCGCTGTCGAAACACCATCTCTTGCACTACGGAACTGACCCCGTCCTCGGCTTCCATCTTGCTGTGGCCTTCATCCCCTTGACCGAACAGTCTCCTCTGAAGCCTGATCAACAGGATGAGAGGACCAGGATTTTCTCGGCCGCAAAGACACAATTCCGAGAGTGGGCGACTGCCTGTGGGACTCTTCTTCGTGGGAAGAAGTTGGTGATCCGTTCCACCGCCAGTGAAGCCCTTGCGTTCTGCCACACTCTGCAGCACTTAATCGTCACCAAGGAGACGTCTGCCGGATGGTACCGTCGCCAATTCGATGCCCGCGTCCTGTCCTTGGACCAAGATGTGTACGGCGCCAAGTCAACAGCTCCGATCGCATTCGACACCGTTGACACATCCAACCTCGCAGACCACTTTGGCACATTGAACATTCTCATGTCGGCTCTACCTCTGCTCACACCCCACCCCTGGTCGGCTGTCTTCACCGAAACCCTTTTGAAGAGAGAAAGTACCGCCAAAGAGGCCTTTGATACCCTCTTGTACGGCCACGGCCCCACGATATCACTGTTGGTAGGCGCGAGCGCGGTCGAATACTGGACCAACTCCACTGCCGTTTCAAGCGTCGATGAGATCTTGATCGGTCTGAGCACTAAGAGCATCCAGGCGAAAGGCGACGAAGTGGCTCAAGTGCACAGTCGAATTACATGGAAACAGAGCAAGCTTTTCTCAGGAGTCAACGCCTCCGGGCCTCTCGCAATCGAATCTGAAGCGCTAGCCAGCATCTTCTTCAGCCTCTACCTTAAGGTCTTCGCACACGAGAACCCCATGAAGCTTCTGTCCATCTCGAAGTCATCCGTCACGCAGCTTATCCGCAACACGGCCTACTCCCACTTCCACCGGGGCACCCTCGTCTCCCTTCTCCATTACCTCAAGCTGCGTCTATCTGTCGACAATTTTGGAAAGACTTGCGGATTTCTGCTCCAGAAAATATCCGCTGAAAGAAGCCTGATGTTCACGGGGAATCTTAGACAAGATTTGTCTGTGCAGATGCATACGCAGGGGGTCGACTCAGAAGACTGGCTTCGGGCAGAGATCAAGCCTAACCGTAACCTCGGCGGGTTCGACTCCTGGACATCAGTCCCAGAGGTCGTGGCCGTGACTCTCGTTGTCCCGCGGGAGAAGATTGCGCGGGCCTTTGACGGCTCTGACCAAGCCAAAATCAGTTCTCCCACCATCAGAGGTTCATTGGTCTCTGGTGAAGACGCCAACCACAAGTGGCACAACTTCTACGACGAGGTACAGCTTGTCTTTGGGACCGTCAAATCCAGTGGTAACCGTGACACCAGCGACTTCTCGGTCACCGTCGATGCAGACCCAGCAGGTTGGCTTGGGAAATCTCCGCTCATCGCAACCTTCTACGTCTCTGCTGCGGCGTTGCAGGTGGAACGCAAAACTTCCTATGTCCGCCTAGAGGTCCTGAGCTCTGCACAAAGTATCGCTGTCTTCAGCAAGACTCTCGGTAGCGAACTCAGAATCTTCCAGGCTAAGTTGGCTGACGAGGACAGCGTCTTCATCACCAAGTACATGCCCGGTCAGACAAGGTATCCGGCTGCTTCTGAAGCTGCGGGACTTGTCGCGGAGACTGCTTTCGAAAAGAGCACGGACACAGAATCGACCTTCACCGCAAACGCATCACAAAGACAGGAGAGAATCGAAACCATTACTGGACATCTCGATATCCTGTCTACCAAGGGCAAGAAATTCCTTAGTGACAAGCTACCCATTACCCTTGATCAAGTGTCTCCCTTCACCGTCAACGTCGTGTTTGGTGACAAGGAGCTTGTCTATCCTCTCACCTTTCCCGCTCTCATCGACGCCAGCAAGGCGAAAACTCGCATCGCTCGTACATCCGCCTACGTCGAGGTTATTGCCCCCTTTGCCGAACCTAGCAGCGATCCAGAAACGAACACAGTACTCACCGACTTTATCTATCCGACTCAGCTTGCACGAGGTCTCTCAAACACCCCAGCCGATCTCAACACCCCGCACTTGAACCTCGACCGCCTCCCTATCATCGACGTCGCCAAAAAGGATGAGCTTCCCTTCCTCAACACACTCCTCTCCTTCGAGTTCTCGGTCCGTGAGAGGGCACTGCGCGAGCGTATCAACGCCAGCAGGCTCGACCTCGCCCCCTCGCCCCGCGTCAACTTCAAGGAGTCAATCTTCACCATGACTATGCTCTCCACGGGTCAACAAGGTGGCCAAACTGGCCTCTTCTGTCTCAACCATCCGGACCGCGGCGGCATTCACATGCTCTTCTTCGTCTCCGCTCTCCGTCTCGATGCTGCCTCTGCCTCCGTCGTCCTCGATGCCGCAGTCCTACCATTCACGCTCCCCATTATCAAGAAGGTAGAGCCATTCCTTCTGCTTCTGAGAGAGCTCGAGATGGCCTCTGTCACCGTCAACGACGAGGAACTCATCCTCTGGAAGAAGGTCCTCCCTGCCATGGCCGAGCGTACCCGGACGTGGAACCATAATTCGTCGTGCGAGTACCGCAAGGCCGGCGCCACCATACCCTTATCGCTGGAACCCAGTGAGCCTGTCCTCTGCTCCTGCGGCCGCGGACAGTTCCCTGCGAACTTCATCGGGCTCCCAGAGTGGGACACCGCGTCCAAATACGCCACCCGCATTGCCATCAGCCCGACGTTCGCTGTACCATTTGTGGAGGAGATTGTGGACACGAATAAATATAAGGATTATCGCGCTAATGGTATGGCGCCGCCTAAGGAAAGGTGCACCAACTGCGGCAAGGAGCCAACGAACGGCGCCGCTCTGAAGAAGTGTATGCGCTGCTTGAATGTCAAGTATTGCAGTGCCGATTGCCAGAAGAAGGATTGGCGAAAGCATCGTGGCGAGTGCAAGGAAAGCGAGGCGTATCAAAAGTAAACTCGGCATAGTTGCGATTGAGCAAGACTCAGGGATTCTTTTGCCAAATTCTCGCTGGCGTTCAGTGAATTCTCTCCCCTTCCGGTGCTATATCCTACTGTGAACATTTACGTCGGCGACAGCTCAGGATGAAATTTCCAATCTTCATGTATGAAGTTATCCCTGAGGGATCTTAGGCTTGAGGTAGGTCGAGTATGCTTCCGCGAGCATTGCTGACATTTCCAGTCACCATGTAATAATAAGGCGGCCTCACGTGCTTACTGGTGTCAATTTAAGCAGAAACTTTCACAAAAGGGACGATCGTATGATGATTTTGCAACAAGGCTTCCGTGGATCAATCGCGGGAGGCTCATGCAGGCTATGTCGAGCAACCAATGGCGTCGCGTATTCTGACCTTCTACACTTCCAAATCTGGACCGGGCATCTTTCAGCTTCTTTCCCCTCTTTTCCCAGCTGAGAAGCCGTCTTTTGAACAGGAGGACATTGTGCAAAACACATCTCGCAGACGACAACGTTACCCTCCGCGCTCGTCTCGAAAGCGTTTAGTTGAGAAAACTTCTGTTTTGTTCAGTCATGTGGCTTGTCAATACGAAGACCCTCGTCCTCGAGAGCTTCGCGGAGCCCTCCGAAATCGACTATGCCATACTCTCGCACACTTGGGAGAGCGGCGAGATCTCTTTTCAGGAGATGTCCTCCACCGCTGTGGCGTCAACGACGAAAAGCAAGGCAGGCTTTGACAAGATCGCAAAGACCTGTGAGATTGCACAGGAGAAGGGCCTGGGATACGCGTGGATCGACACCTGTTGCATCGACAAGTCCAGCAGCGCCGAGCTCAGCGAAGCCATTAACTCCATGTTTCGATGGTACCAGGAGGCGAAGGTCTGCTTGGTATTTCTCTCGGATCTCCGCCCGGAAGTTGGCAGTACTGGGCCTGGGATCCATAAGATATCCGATCTGTCTAGGTGCAAGAGCTCATCGCGCCGGCCGATGTGGAGTTTTACGATGCTGGGTGGAAGTTGAGGTTCTCCAAAGACGTATGGTCGGGGCGTCTATCGACGATAACCAACATCGATATCGATATCTTGACATTCGAGAAGGAACTATCGGCTGTTCCCGTTGCCGTCAAAATGTCATGGGCAGCGCATCGCCGAACGACCCGTGTCGAGGATCGGGCCTACTCCCTCCTCGGGCTCTTCGACATCCACATCCCCATGATCTACGGCGAGGGCAGAAAAGCCTTTCAGCGACTCCAGGAAGAGATTGCCAAGGAGACAGATGACTTGTCGCTGTTCGCCTGGGTAGCAGTTGATGAGAATCAGCGGTATAGAGGCATCTTCGCCCAAGAACTAGCGGAGTTCACATTCTGCGGCAATTACATGCGATGCAATCGACTCACATCAGACCGGAATGAATTCTCCATCACCAACAAAGGCGTCCGATTTACCTACGTCTTAGGCGTGAACACGGACGCAAGCGCCACTTGGCTGCTCCCTTTTTTGATGCAAGGGAATTGCCAAAAGTGCCACTATCAGCATAGCATTTAAATCGGCCTAGTTTTCACCGCGGAGGGCTGGGTCCGCGCGACGCCTGGGCGCTGCCGGTATGAGAGCGATGGGCCGTCATTTCACAGTTTTATCGACGTGTGCGTCAGGAAGACGGTCACGGCCTCAGAGAGCCGCAGACTCGAGCAGCGGCCGGGCCACTTCTTCAAGCTGGAATGGGCTCCAGGAGACTGCCTCAGCAGATGTGGCAAGCTTCTCGCGGCCGAGCCCAGCTTCCTCTGGAACCCCGTCTATCGGGGATTCGTGGGGGAGGCACAGGCTGAAGATTTTATGGGCATCATCAAGTTGTCCTTGAGCGCCCTGCCTTCGAATGTCATCATCTGTCTAGTTCTGTTCAAGGTCAAAGATCGACCGCCTGAGGTTCAGCTCTTCCTGGTCCCAGACTGGCCATGGGAGCTGAAGGAGGGCATAGTCTATCCTGAGGGTACCTCTTCGTCGGAAACAGAAATGCGGTTGTACAAGCGTTCCCTGCTACCTTATTCCCCTAGTAACTTGTCGTCTGCCCGGGCTATCTGCTGTCATGGCCAATTCTCTTTTGATGTAACAGTCACAGCAGAGGTGGATGAGAAGATGCGCCTTATACTATCTTGCAAATATCTCAAGGAGCCTCAAAGGGTACAGGAGCAAAAAGGGCTTCCATTCCTTCCCATGGCAGACCTGATACGATATATGTCAGACAAATGACGCTACCAAATATCGTTCCAGCCCTCGTCAACTTAAAGGACAAGCAACGACGTTTCATGCCCCCGTACTCCCATCACGACGTCATACCGAACGTCCGGATACTACACCGCGAGACCCGGCATTTGGAAAAGGATCCGTACTCGGTACCAGAAAATCACACTGCCCGTCGGTACATGCATCAAGCAGCACAGGACCACCTCCAAAGCCTCCAAAGCCCAGCAACTATGTCATCTTTTCCTTTCGGAACCAGACTGAATTCACTCGGACGAGGAGCCTAGATGACGGGAAGAGACTTCAACGATCCCCAGAAAAGAAACCCACGCAATGTCCACAACTTTGCAGATCTCCACAGTCTCCACGGCCAGCCCTGTTGTCATTACCAAAGAGCCCGCAACTCCCGATACTTGGAGAAGGTCAGACTTCAGCCCGATATCCAGCCCCCCAAAAAGGCCGACTACGCTCATTCGTCACTGTTGAAACAACGACAAGCCATCCCCAAGACCAATCAATAAGATCTAAGCAAGGGTGGGGGAAGACACTTTCAACTCAGACACTGAAAATGGCGCCAGGCCAAGAACTGGAAGAGGATGAATGGGCATCATCATCGTCAAGGACATCCCCTTCAGGCTTCGACGCATCGCCCATTTGTTTCTCATCCACCCAGTCCCCTCAAAACACACCGCACGCTGTCCGAAGACACCATGAACGCTAGAAGTCAAGAACCAACCAACACAACTGAGACGACTTGAGATCTAACATACTAGAGCTTAAGAAAGTTATTCTCTTTTTCGCTTCCCATGTATCAACCTCGGGCGGCTAGTCTCAGTGATGTGACTGGTTTTAGTTACCAAGGATCAGCGTTCGTTGACCGCTTACTCGACCAAAAAGGTACTGTTCACCACCACACAAACGGACCGACCACACACACCAAGAAAGGACAGGACAGAGGAAAAAATCCCGAAAAATGATCGTCAGGGGCCTAAACTTGACACACACCAATCCCCAATTTTCTTTCCCCAGCGCACCCACACTAAAACCACAGGAAAAGGCTGAACGCTGAATAGCCAGTGTTGCAAGCACAAGCCAACGTCCAATCCCAATCTTTGTCTTTATTCCCTCCCCTCCCCCCAGTTTTCAATGCCCACGTGCTGGAGGCCTTTCGGTCAAGTATCCTGCCCCCCATCGGGCAGCCCGCAAACAAGGTATGGTCTTGTTGCCCAAGCTTAAAAAATGTTGGCAGAAGGCTGGGGATGGGGCAGGCTCGAAAGTTGGCAGTCGGTCACACTACCTTACTCCAGTCTGCAAGGGAGGCGATGAAGTAGTAAGTAGGTAGGGAGAAAGGCTGCAGTCCCGTTGTAGAATGTCAGGTGACCTCGTCGGGCATTACTCTCTTCAAGCCGGGTCACACACAAACGGCGCGTGCTCGGAGCTCGGAGGCGGCGCTCGGAAGGACGCCCAGTGTACTAGACGCGGCAGTCGGATCTTGTCCTCCTGCAAGTTCACGGCCGTTCGTTCAAGTCAATGCGATTAGAAGGGACAAAATGATGAAATATGAGGTCATTGGATATTTTGCTCGATTACCACGCCACATTTCCATAACCCAAGTTAACTTTGAACACGCTGTATCAACCCAAAAAAAAAGAATTCCCGCACCAGCCTCCTATCTCTTGCTTCCATCGGGTTGAGCCCAAGTTGGCCAAATCTCTCTCCTCTTCTCACACGGACACTCCAAGGGAGGGCCAAAGTTGGTTTATCCAAGATGATATTGAAGATCTCTGCCGTGTAATAATCCCTCCCAAGGCGTAGGCCCCTTCGCGTTCATAATATGAAGGTGCCATGGTTACTATACACAAGATGGGAAGGGGGGTTACGCCACCATACTCCGTTATGACTCTTTCCATAGAATGTCGTTCAACAAGGTTTTTATTTCCAACTGCCGCCGTGTTTTTGTGATGAACATGATCTCGGCCTGTCAACCCCTTCCCATCGGTAGAATCGAAAGTACCCAGTGTAGGTGGTAAGTGGTTGGCGGACCGGGTGACGTGTTTTTAAAAAAAAGGTATTGGTGCTGTGGTAGTGGCGGGTCGTAATTTGAGGGTAGGTAAGGGGGTAGGAGGGGAAATGTCTCGAGACGAAAGCCCCCCGTTTGGTTGGTAGGTTGGTTGTGATATCCAAAAGTTGTCTAAATTGTAGATAGTTGCAAAAGGAGTGGACGGCGTAGGGAGGGAGGTCGTGGCCGAAAGGGCGGATTTTTTGTGTATGGTTGTGTCCAAAAACAAGAGAGATTTGATAGATGTATCCAACGCAAAAACCCATATCGTAATTTCCCAAGATATGTTTACCCTACACCATGATACAAATGAAAAATCCGACGACACTGGTCGTTTTTTTCGGAAGACGCCCCCGAGTAAGCCAGCGTCGGGAGATTGAACACCACAAAACGCCTTTGATGCCAGAATTGTGTAGAAAGAAGTAATTCAAAGAAGCCCCAGGACAGGCTTTCAGGTCGTTTGTCGTCATGATGTGAGGTGCTCATGCGTTGGTAACCTTGATGAGGGGAATTAGCTTTTTCAGGGTTCATCTCATTTTAAAACATCTCATCTCTCATAAACTTACTCGGAGAATCTTCCGCGAGTAATCTTGGTTGTCGGCAATGCTGCCATCGCTCATGCGTCGGTGCGCCAGGGTGGGATCCATGCGGGAGTCGGACATGGAGACGCCGCTGCTGCTGGGCGGCTTGGAGCCGCCGATGAAGGCGTTGACGGCGGCGTTGCGGCGGTGCTCCTCCTCGATCTCGGCGTTGCGCTTCCTGCGGACGAAGAAGAAGGCGGCGCCGACGATGGCGGCGATGGCCACGACGCCGACGACGACGCCCGCGGCGATGCCGGCGACGTTGGTGCTCTTCTTGGGCGTCTCGGTTGCCGCGGCCGATGTTGTCGCGACGGGGGTCTCGATGACGGTTGAGACGACGCCGTTGGCGGCGGTTGTTGTCGTGGCCTTGGTGGTGGCTGCGGCCGTTGTGGTGGTTGCAACGTCCTCATCGGGAACGACGAGCTTGAGACCCGTGTTGAAGACGGAGTAGTACATCATGTCTTCGACACCACCGCCTTTCACAAAGGTTAGCCATTACTTCAAAAGTTGAACCATGAGACGTAGGGTAACATACAAGCCTCTTCCGGGTAGAATGGGCAAGGGAAGTTGCACTTCTTGTCGTCGACAACGTCAACCTTTGGCGGGTACGAGTCACCGCAGTAGCAGTCCTCGCCGTTGATAGCGGCGACATTCTTCTTCTGCTTAGTTTGGCATTCCAACGTGCATGATCCGGTACTGATATTCTCTACGGGGTACTTCTGCCATGTCGTTGATGACGCGTTGTAGCATCCGTGGTTGGTGATGGCGCCTGGCCTCGCGGCCTCACTGGGCTTCTGATATCCTGACGTAGTGGTGGCAGTCTGGGCTGAGCTAAAGCCAAAGGCCACGGCGGCCAGAACAGCTACTGAGTACTTCATAATGGTTGTCGAGGGGGGTATAACGAAAGCGTTGAAACGAAAAGTAGGTTGAATGAAGGTGCGGTCTCGAATCGATTCCAGGACTCGAAGACGATGACAGGTCTTGCGGGTTCGAGGGTTGTCGACGTGTCTCAGGGGTTATTGCCTCGGTGCGGTTCAGTCGGCCACCGAATGCTTTCCCAGATATCGAAATCCAAGCAGCGTCCTCTCGATTTTCCACCCAGTTCGATTAATAAGTTGTATCCGTCGAGAGAATCGTAATTCGATCGATCGGAGGAGGGTTAGATGATGATGATGTTGAGGGTTGAGCGAGTGTATCGGTCGAAGCAGGACCGTGTTCGGGTCGTGCGGCAAACAAGGCGAGTCCTAAAGAATGTGTGGGCACAAACAGGCCTCCTAATGGTTTCTTCGCGAGTTGGTTTGGGCTTTTACGAAGCCTCTTGTTCTTTCTCCTTCACGTTGTTCTCTTTTGCTGGCAAAAAAAAAGAGGATATCACCGAGTAAATGACATTGAAAGGAGAGGGTAAATGAACAAGGGAAAAAGAGGAGGAGACCTTGGCGAGATTGGGAAGATGAGTAACAAGGCAAGGCAAGGCAATGGAAGAGGGAGAGACTTGGGGGGGAGGGGAGGAAATGGAACGAGTGACAGCGGGTGGAATTGGAGGGAACGGCTTGTTTTGTTGAAAAGAGGGAAACGAGCACGGAGTGGGTTGAGATGAGGAGGAAAAGCGAAATTAGGAGTCCACTTTGCGGCATCCCGGGGGGTTCGGGAGGGTGTAGACCCAGAATACCACAAGTACCAACTCCTCTTTTCTCTCTCTGGTGTCTGCCTCCGTCCTCTCAGGCTCTGTCTCTCGTGCCCACAGAGCCTTGAGGAGGGTGGTAGTGTAGGCATGTGCAGTGTGTAGTGTACATACGAGTACTGAATAGTGAAAACTAGGGCAGGTCTAGGCAAAGGTAGGGATGGCTTCCCGTTCTGCCATCTGGTGTGTGCACAACTTTTCCAGCTCGAAAGGGCACACACGCGTAACTTTCGACAGTGGGACACCCTCCTCGACTCTAGGACATGCCCTGCAGCAGTGTTCGGTAACAGCCAAGGGGTCCCCTGGCCACACGTCCGTGGCTTTCACAGCGGCACAGAGGCAGCGAGAGAGCAGAGACGGGGGTGAAGTTGTGAACAGACTGGGATGGAAGAAAGGGAAAACGGGGGGAAGAGAATCCACGGCTCCAGGCAGTTTTGGGAATAGTCGAGCGAGAACTTAACGCGGCCGTTATCCAATGGCTTCATGCCGCGCCTGGCTTTGGCTCCATCCGAACAGATTCAATTGGGTACAGGTCTTTCGTGCTGCTGTCCAACGTTGGCGTCGATTGGATACATCCGCAGTAGTGCGACAGGGGTGAGCCATGTTTGGGTCTTCCCGGGCAAGAATTCAGGAACAAGAATTACCGTCAGGGGCGCAGTTGACTGTGCAGATCATGGGCTGTATCGGGGGTTGGCGGTACTGAGTACGGTTTGAAGAGACTGAAGTCTGTTAGATGAAGTGGTGGGAGGCCTCAGCTTGTCATAACATGAACTCAACTTGACGGACTGTTCATGGTACACGCTATCGCGAGCCGTCGAGTGATCAGATCCACTTTCCAATTTAATCCTCCACATATGCGACACACCACCACGAGCTCTTGGTGTGCGATGCCGCCTGCGAGAATATCGCGCGGGCCTTCATAAATCTGATGTTGTGCACGGGGTGTATGGAAAAGGGGGAGGCGGTGAATAACTTGACACACTCGCTACATCATTGATGATACCACGGCGAGTTATGAACAGCGGCATTGAGTTGTGAAGACATATCTGTGTTGTGGAAAGTCTGAGCGCTGTTCGTTGTTCGAGGATGCGATCTTCTCATGGGCATCGCATCCCGATCGGCCGCTTCCAACCGTGGAATCTTCTCTGCTCGTGTACGATCTGCCGAATGTGCCGTTCGCTTCGCTTTGAAGTCAGAATAGGAGGTGGTTCGTGGTTGCGAAAGCGAAGACGCGAAGGAACTCCTCTGCTGACGGTTATCTGCCGTACAACCACACAACACGGCAGCTCCCTCCCATACTAGATGAAGAACAGCTTCTTTCTCTCTTCCGGCGTGTGTTCTTTCATCGCCTGCTGCCGCCAGGGCCGTGTGTTTGACGCTGATTGTCAGGGTGTCACGCG